GTATAGAACTATGAGACCACCAACGAAAGTGGAATTTTGATATAATAAATTCATGCCTTTAACTTGAATTTGCTTGTTCAAAAACACGATTATATAATTTTGGCTCGATCAAAATGATTTGCGAAAACACCTCTAAAAAATCATTATAGTTGAAATTACAACGAAATTACTTAATCTATATGCTTGGGAATCATTCAAATATATTCATAACATCAATATTCATAATTTACTTGCTCATTATTTTGATAACTTAAATCAATAAATTTTTAAAAAACATTTTAAGATTCTGACAATTTCTAAGCGGTTTTATTCGTCGCGGGTGCTGTGCAATTTTAGACCTTATGACGGCGTTTTTTCAAGTTTTTGTAGAAATTATGTATTCACTCGGATCAGTACGGCGATAGCCTGGAGCCACTTTTTCGATGTGTCGTCTTAAAAGAGGGTGATTCCTAGTTCTTACGCAGGCGAATCCTATACAGAAAAGCAATCTTTACTACCTTATATACTTTGTATAAGGATTATCGCCTTAAATAAGCACAATAGTCTATTTTATTTATTTGTTTATTTAACTTCATATACACTGAAATGTATATAGGCGGACTGAACGCGTAGTATTAGTGTACTTGGTAGAGCCATTCTGTAGCTATATTATGTTTATAGCACTTATGGGTCGGTTCAATAGTGGAAAGACCAAGCTCTCACAGAATACCAGCGTAAAACACCAGCTTAATGCCGCTTTGTTTTGTATGGTGAGTGTAGAGAACCGAAGATCCTTTTTGTTACATTTTATTTTTAGATATGCAGCTTCAGATTCCTAATCATTGATAAATATAGATGCATATGGAGCTTAGTATCCACTTACCATCAGGTGGACTGTGCGCTCGTTTGTCATCCTTATTCTATAAAAGTAGTTGCGCGGTAAATATACGAGTACGTTTACAATAGAAGAAATTGACGAGCGTTATCAAATTCGGAATGTCTGCCGGAAACATTCATTTTGAATTCCTTACAATATTTTTTACTTAATTGTACTTGCAATTAATTTTGTTCAAGCATATATTTTGTTAATTGTCTTTTGAATTTTAAAGCATGATGCGTTTGTATTGCCCCCCTCACGAGTCTCCTTTTTTTATATATAACTGCAAAACCCGGAGAATTGCAGGTGCGTTGCTAGTCTTTTAAAAGGGAGTAAGCTGAAGGACCCTAAATCATATCGGTCTGGAAAAGTTGCTGGTGGTAAACGATACCACAACTCTCCTGCTGAACATAAGCCTACTTCTTCTTCCTCTCCTTTTTCATCAGCTCGTAAGTCCACCGCTGGACATGGGACTCTCCTGGTAACAATGATTTGCTTTAATCGCCACGCTTGACAAATTGACGGTTGACGTCACTACATAGCACGTACTAAGTAGCATCAGATGGACGCAACACAATCCACCTGATGGTGAGTGAATGCCATGACTCATAGACATCTCCATGATCCTCGATTAAGAATCAAAATTCAGATGCGTTTTCACCTCTGATAACTAAAATGGAATACCTGGTTTCCATTGAAAAGGGTCTCCGGTTCTCTACACTCACCATACGAAACACAGCAGCATTACACTGCTATTTGACGCTGGTATTCCGTGAGAGCGTGGTCCTTCCTCGGTGGAGCTGACCCATTGGTGCTACAAACATAATATAGCTGCGGCAGAGTCTACCACTTAAAATGGGCAATATTTGCTTACCTTTTTATACCTTAGCTTCGTTATATTGTTCAATAACAATATACACATTCTTGTTCTCGTTTAAATTAATTTTTCAAAACATTGAAAAATAGTTGTTATGCGCATCTTAATGAGAAGGGAATGAGGAATTGCGTGTTATCAGAAACTTAACCATCCGCGAAACAGGTCAATCGTCGCAAACGCGATTATTTACGCGAAAAGAGTACCTATTCTACGGCATTTATAACTCTATAATCGATTACACGGTTTCATCGTTAAGAGTAAAAACTTGCGTGTGCAGACGCTACAGAAATAAAACAGTTATCTATAAACTAGGGTTGCCAACCATTCTGTTATATAATTTATTTCACTCTTTAATATTGTTACCAGTTCTATTAAAGAGTATAAAACAATATACTATTAGGTCAGAAACATTATCTTTCCCTCTAATCCCCCCACCCCACTACTTTCATCACTTCCTGTGGCTTTATGATGACTAATATGACATTTAAATAAATTACGGCATGTTTATTAATTTATATTGCAGATTATAATATTATTTATAGTGGACTCTACCCTTACTTAATTAATTAACTTTTATCTTCTTTCTATTTCCTTTTTTGGTTGTCTGGAAAAAATTGCTGTACAGAAATAAAATCAAAAGAAAAAACAGAAAAAAAAACAAAAGACCGCCTTTTGTTTGTTTCTGTTTTTTCTTTTTATTTTATTTGTTTTAGCAAAGGTGTGTAAAAGTTACTATAAAGAGTTTTGTTGAATATGATTGTATAGAAAATACGATTTTTATCATCGCTGGTAGCCATAAAACCTGAAATGATATTAATAATTTAGAAAAAATGAAAATAAATTGTTAGATGTGTTTATATTTATATATACAAGCTTCATTAAATATGTTTTTAAAACTTCAAAAAAATCCCTTTATTTTTTAAAATATTTTTTATTTTTGTTCTCCGTTCTTAAAATACTGTATTTCCCGTTCAAAAAATTACCAGCCCTACTATTAACTGGACGGTAATGGGAATTGTTCGCTATGAATAATGGGTTTCGCGTGACTTTACGTAGGTTTTACATAAAACCGCGCCACTTTATCGAGATATAAGCTGCAGTTATTATGTTTTTTATTTGAAACAATTGTAAAAATATTGTTATAAAAATACTAATAAGATGAAGTTGACCGCGTAGTGCCGTGTAAGAACATCCACTTTATCGACGTCCCCTGGGCAGTGACAGGCGGTGGAGGAAAACCAGGCGATGGACACCAGCTCCTAAAACAACTGAAACTGAACTGAAATAAAAATATTTTTCTTTATTAAACTGAGGTATCCAACGAACTAACAGTCCACCTGACGATAGTGAGTGGCTACTGCGGCCCATGGCAACTTGCAGCTAACTTCAAACAAAGAAGGTCGTTGTCACCTCTACGGACTGAGATGGAATATGTTACAGCCTGTTTTTATACCGGTACTAGGTAAGAGGGTGATACCTACCCAGATGCCACCCAGACAGAAATTGGCTCCTATAACTTAGTTTTTTTTATAGGATAGGGTGACAAACGAGCACACAGTCCACCTGATGGTAAGTGTATCCTTTATCCTCGATTACAAATCAAAATGCAGATGCGTTGTCACCCGTGAGGACTAAGATGGAATGCCTCGTTTTCGGTAAAGAGGGTCTCCGGTTCTCTACACTCACCATACGAAACACAGCAGCGTTAAGCTGCTATTACACGCTGGTAATCGGTGAGAGCATGGTCCTTCCCCGGTCGAGCCGACTCATTCTTGCTACAACAATACTATTTATGTAACTGCAGCATAGCTCTAATATATAAGTATAATTATTTCATACATAAACATCAAAAATTGTTAATATAAAGTCAATGAAAGAAACGCTGTTCTTAAAAATTATTTGCGCGTTGTGTTGTGTATGTAAATAGAACTAAAACCAAACCGCTATAGAAAACGTGTAATGAAAAGATATTAAACAAGCCAACGAAGTCAATTTTTAGAATCCTTCAAAGAGAACTAATTTATTGTAAAAAGGTTTCGAGCTCTATTTGAAGATATACGATTTGACGGCTCCGTGGCGCAGGAGCTTAGCAATGAGTTACAGCGCTAAGGGCCGCGGGTTCGAATCCCGCACGGAACAAGTATTTGTATGGTCTACAAGGTTTGTCCTTGTGAAATTTATGTTTGTAAACTGCCCCCACGATACAGAAGAAAATCCTAATGTGGAGGTAACGTTTTCAAAACAGAAGAAAAATATATTGCTTTTTAAATACATAGTTTATTTTAATAATAAAATAAATTTCGATAGGTAATTTTATTAATAAATATTTATGGTTGGATCTGATGTGGTTTTTCTCTTAATCCACTATATTAACGTCACAGCCTATTAAAGTCCACTGGTGAACATAGGCCTCCCCATAGATTGCCTCCTAAGGGGAATATTTGCCATAGTTGCCACGCTTGGCAAGCTGGTTGGCAGCTGCAGTTTTATTTTTATTTTTAGTCGTTATTAGTAAGACGCTGCTGTCTATCACCAGATTTCCCTCTGATGCTCGAACTTGCTGCATACAGTCGAATGTTTTCTTTGGAACCCATTCTTCTCAGTTTATTATTTTCTACCCTTTTTGTAGAACATCAATATTTTGTGAAAATCTGCCACAGCATCCCCTTACCATCAGGTGGACTGTGTGCTCGCTTTTCACCCAAGTCTATGCACAAAATATTTTTTCATACGATTACAGAAGTATTCTACTTAGCTACGGAACCCTAACAATAAAAAAAATTACAAAGTTAAATTAGTCTGCATGCAAGTCATATTATCGGTAATGTAATCTCTACAAAAGTGAGGTTAAAATTAGCAGAATTTCACGTATTTGTAATTATTTTGTAATTTTTTCCGATATATTTAAGTACGAGTTATTTGTACCCGCTCTAAAACACAGCATTTAGACAGCTAAACATTTCAATCGTATCTATGGGTTAAATGTATAATAATGTGAGATTTCTAGGTACTATGCAACTAGATTAATTACACGTATTAAACAAAAATTTTCATCCGATATTTTGCAAAAAAAAACGGGATTTGATTTGCTCACGAATGCAGTTAGCCGATACAAGCCGATAGCGTGTACGTGAATGGTCTAAATTATCTTTCTCGCTCTGAAATACGCGTACATTATGCTCTTTCTTTGTTGCGTTGTCAATCTATTCTAACGTCAGTTTATACTAAATGTACGAGTTAATTCAGTATCTGTTTTATTGTCCGCAGAAGGAGTCCCGCACAGACGTGCAGTTCCACCTGGCTGCGCTGCGCGGCGACTGCGAGCGACTGCGACACCTGCTGGACACCGGCAAAGTGCACATCGACTCACGCGACCGGGTAAGCTACACAAACAATATTATATTCATTATATATAATATACAACTTAACTGCCTAGTTAGTCCAGCGGTCGTTAGCTAGATTGTTCACCGTGAGGTCCTAGTTACTAATTCCAGATCGGGCCAAAAAGCAGATACTAATTTTCTCAGTAGCAGCTCGGAGTCAGGAAGGTGGCGGGGTTTCACCTCCGTGCCTTGGAAAGCCGAACATTTGTCTGGTCGGGTTGGATTAGATAACAGATCCATCGGACTATTCCACAGCACACAAAAAGCACAGGTGCACACACACACTTAGGGTACACTTAGGCACTGTAATCCTGTGCTGCGCCGATAATTAGAGACTGGCTGCTGTGACTGAAATTCGGTCTGGAAGACATTATTATAAAATATATCTATATTTTAAAATAAATATTATTATAAAATATATTTTTATAGATGTAAGCACACTTTTTTGTAAATTTATGCTGTGGGCCATAGACCTACATTTATTTCTCGATTGAGGATCAAAATGCAGATGCAGATGTTTATTTTTCAACCGACTTTGAAAAGGAGAAAGTACTCGATTCGACTGTATGTTTTTATGTGTGTTACGTCAAAACTTTTTTCCATGTGAATCGATTTTGGCGATTCCTTATTTGAAAGCTGGTGTTTTTTGTGAGGTACCATATTAAAATGATCAAGATCTGATCGGCAGTTTTTGAGTTATCTTTAATAATGCGAATTTAATCGACTTCGAATACATTGATGATGTTCTCATTTTATTCATAATGAAGTCGGTTGTACAAAATTTTATAATACATAACTGCAGAGTATGCGTTTTATGTCACAGTTTAATTTTCTTATTCAGTTAACTTTAAGAAAATCGATACCTACGTCGTCTTCGTGTCGCAAGGAGAAGTTGCCAGTCTGTATTGCAGGGTGTCCCCACAAGTTTGACGAGAGCCATATTCCCTCTCATATATTGAAGTTATGTACATGTAAGCATTAAAATATTTTTTGTAATACCGTCGATTACAATAATGTATTGCGTTTGAGTCCTTTAAAATTTCGTTTATGGATGTAGTAAAACTTGGCGTATAAAAGAAATTAGAAATAGAAAACTTATTCAATATAGATTATATGATACTCCTTTAAAATCACTCCTACGTTTAATTTAACACTGGTTCGGAGTATAACTGTATCCTGGGAAGAACCAAACTGTGATATATGATTGTCACTGTATAATATGCTAGTAAAACATTTGAAATAAGTTTTTGAAAAAGAGCAGTATACAATCATATTGTATTATGTTACACAGTTAACTACATACACAAAATAAATTATATAGCTTGATAGCGACCACTTCATTCCAAGGAGTTAATATAAAAAAACCTTTTCTACAATCTTAGACTTTTTTAGTTTTGGTAACTCAGGGGCTGGAGACTCGCGATAAATTTTATGTCATAAAAACAGCTAGAATTTCATACCCGGCAACACCAATGAAATTATTTATTGCACTTTAGGCGCCGATTTAACCTCTTGTGCGGCGGCGACGCGAAAACATGCGCCAGCCAGAGGAAACTAAAACCTTCCGCTAATGTGATAAAAGAAATACTAAGATAATAGATAAGATTTTGGACTATTACGAATTGTCATTTAAACAGAAAACTTTCAGATTTTACGGATACAAAAACGTGTTATAGTAAGTAATAAAGAAAAAATGAGATAGAAGGCGTTTAGTAATTTTTGTGCAAATGAGATGTTCCGAAATGTATGGAGCCTGGGCCAGGTCCTTGTATACATACTCAAAAATAGGGAAACACATTTTAAACAGTTTTCAATTATCCAATTATTTTATAATGGCTTTGTTTGCTGGTAAAGCACAGGAATTTGCACTTGAAATTGCAACACACAATAAAAACCCGTCATGGCGGTAAGCTGTCATTTTTATTGATCAGTGACGTGTAACATGTTTATTTCAATTATTTTTGACACTGTTGCAACAACTGACAGTTCCCTTTCTATGAGCATTGGTCGCTTTAAGGTTTACTGTCATTGTCTATAAGCACAGAGTAACTAAATCGGTGAGACGCCAGGATGAAAGTCGATAAAAATAATTGATATACATTAATTGTTTACCACGACAGGATACATTTAAATGAATGGTCTGTATTTTTCCCAAAATCTACAGATTTTTCTCGTTATTTTGAGGTAGTGTATATAGACCTGGTCCATTTTGAAACATCTGCTTTGAATGAGGAACAAGAAGCTGATATTCTTGGTTTTTTTAAAGGATACCGGTATTCTGCGCAAATTTTTTCAAATAACTATTTCATCATATAATAATTATTTCATCCTCATACTCAGTACCCCATACATTTTCATTACAAGACATAGGCCTCCCCCGTTTTAGGATTTGCCATAATCGTTACGCCGGGCAGAGATGTAAGCAATCCCAAAACCAGACACCCAGTACCTCACACATTTAATGTTGCTCTCAGTTGCCAGTTTTGATTTTTCCCTCTGATGATAAAATATACGAAAACGTACACCGCCATCTTTCCTGTGGCGTTATTTTAGCACAATGCCGTTACAGCAATTAAAGTCCACAGCTGAACATAGGAAATGCCCCATAGATTGATTCACAGAGAGGATATTTGCTAGGGTTGGCACACTTGGCAAGCGGGTTGGCAATCGCAGTTTTTTATTCCTTATTAGGAAGATGCTGCTGCTCATCTTCTGATTTGTTTACTGTGTAGTGGCCGTGTAGGAATATTCACTACACGATAATATGGTCCCGTGGGTGTCGTATGAGGCGACAGAGGACAATATGTGTTCTTTTTTAAATAAGAGTACAAAGTGAGCACACAGTTCAGTGTCCTGATAGTTAGTTGATACTGTGACGCATCTGTCATCGATTAAGAATCCGAGTAATTGCCAACTTCTTCGTCAGCCCGTTAAAGTCTACTGCTGAACATGTGCCTCTTTCATTACGGGTAGGATTTGCCTCTGCGAAGCTTTTTCAATAAAAAAAGCACGCTACAACTTTCAACACTGCTAATATTCCGCCAAACCACTTCAGTTTAGCTTAAAATACTGGTGTTAGGAGTGGTTCACGACAGTAATTGAATGGCGGATTCGAACCCAAGGCCTTTAACTTTCGTAGCTCGAAGTGCATACCCTCAACCATTAAGCTACTGATGCTTTTAAAGCTAGAAGAAACAAGTCTAAGTTGTCAACTATGTAGGAATTCTAGTGTTCACGCAAACGAGTTGCAAAGACATATTTTTGCTCATCCTACCGATGTAAACAACGAATGCGCCTACAATCTTTGCGTCAGAAAAAGCACAGAAGTTCAAGCAGTGAGTCTTATTGGATAAAGCTAGAGCTTTCAGCTAAACGATTACGTCGCTCAATGGACCCACGCTCCATGGTTAATAATCGCAAGGTTTTAAACTAAAAAAACGGCTGCTCCACTTTCAAATCATTTCTATTCTTTATAGGTACATATACAGTGGTAACTTGTATGTGGCAAGTATAAGGCAGGGAGCGTTTTAAGATAACTAAAAATAACGAAAAATGTCCATCGTGACGGTTATGACAAATGTACCGTACGACGGTAGAGGCCCGCGTCCAATAGACAATAGAATTTTATAGACTGATGAAAAAGAAATCAAAATAAGAACTTAGGTTGTGTGTATGCCAAATCAAGTTGAATTAACGAAAAATCCTTCTCGCGCTTTTGACGCTGTTACCCGCGGCCGGTCGAGTACTTCACTTCTGGCGTAAACAAATGGTTATAACGCCATCCATCGGAAGCCTTTGTAACGCTTTTCTGAAATGTCACATTTGTAATCTCTTATAACGCCCACGGGACGAAATAGGATATTCTAAATAATTTTCTTTCGTTGTTGCCGCACGGCTGATTTTGATTTCCTAAAGAGTATAAAATATTGAAGACGAAAAGTTTTTTAATGTTCCGCTTCATTGTTAATACCATAGAATACTATATGTATTATAATATTCCTTGGTCAATACATACAATACACAACACTTTGGAATCTCTTCTCTATGTCCGTCTGCCAAAAGCATTAATTTCATTTTTAATCATATGACTATGAAATAAAGTGTGGCACATAGAAAGGTAGAAAAGTAAAGTATTGATTTTCCTCTCTTATTTTATGCATTTTATAAACATTTAAAATTTCTAAAACAGGGAAGAGGAATTAAGGTAGAATATAATTTCATTGTCGCAAACCTTTAGATATAAGTCGTCACTATTAACCTTTGAATATTCAACCAATTTGTTTAATACTCAAAGCTATTAACACACCATCTCACCTATAAAGTAGATATAAATGTCATGTATTGCAGTTGTCGTCGTGTACAGAGTACAGACGTCGTTATTGTCATAACTCGCTTCCGCTTGTCCCTTGCACTGCTGCTAACAGGTTGTGTGCATAGAGGCCGCTTATGATTTATCGTCACTCGCCAGCCTCGACGTACGTAATAATTGTAACGTTGCATAATGCGGCGAAAGGATTAGTTTTTTATACCGTGAGCTTTTTATATTTTGTGTACCGTTTTGGATCATAAGATATTAGTGCTACAACTATTATGTATGACGATTGTTCCCTCTATTCTAATCTTATGATAACCGATTGGGAGTATTATTATAAAATTTTATACGTGGTAGAGCCATGCTGCAGTTATATTAGTAGTATAGTTGTAGCACGAATGGGTCGGCTCGACCGGGGAAGGACCACGCTCTCACAGAATACCAGCGTGAAATAGCAGCTTAATGCTGCTGTGTTTCATATGGTGAGTGTAGAGAACCGGAGACCCTTCTCACTGGAAACGAGGCATTCCATCTTAGTCCTCACGGGTGACAACGCATCTGCATTTTGATTTGTAATCGAGGATAGATGTATATGTCTATGGGCCACAGCAACCACTTACCATCAGGTGGACTGTCTGCTCGTTTGTCACCCTGTCCTAAAAAAAAATATTCGGACGAGTACA